GTTGGCGTAAATCGATTTCTCGCGACGTGTTACCCCTATATCCGATAGAAAATTGACGAGTTTCGATGAAAAATTTCTGCTTAAAAGTTGGTGTGGGGTCGTCATAGTATTGTCGTTGGTAAGCAAGTCGTTAATCAGTCTGTCGTTGGAATCGAAGTAGCAGCCCTGATACTTGAATCGGGTGAGAGGCCAGCAGGTGTTCGCCTCGGTTAACAAGTACCGCTCCCGGGTAGCATGTGCCTGTCGTACCGAAGTGAGTTCGTCTAAGAGTTGTTTCTCACGAGTAGCATGCGCCTGTTCTGCCTCATTAAGTTTATCCATCGCCTCTCGCTCGCGCTCCATGTATTGATCCTTTTCCGCCTGACATGTGTCGAGTGAAGCATCGTTGCCCCCGTTGTTCTGACTAGGTGATGGAACAGGCTGGTTGAAGATGATGCCGTTTGTGCAAGTGCACGAGCAGGTGTCGTTGTTTAGTGCCGGGTCCGTACAAGTGACTGAAGGTTTCATTCCTAATGTTATACGTCAGGAACTCGGATTGTTTTGAATTTTCGAATCTGCTTACTATTTTCGCACTGGTACGAGTCCCCGGAAATTCCAGAAAAGTCAGACGTGCTCATGGCGTACGGGGTGTCATAGGCAACAGCCCCCATACACAAGGCGGAAGTAAGATAGATACAAGAGGCTCTCATGGTAAGCACAGGTGAATGGGTGAATTCTGAGGAAAGTTTGTTGAAGAATGTTAGTTACAAAGTCTTCCATGGCTACATATTTACATCATTAGTGTCCTAGTTGCTTCTTGCGCATCATTCCCAGCGTTCCACGCGACAAGTAACTCATCAACCGAGATGTACACAATCATAACCATTTACAGGTCATAGGTGATGCACGAAAAAAAGATACCAAGACTTGATTTGGATGCTTTTTAAAGGCTTTTCTTTTATGATATACGCAAATCTGTACTTTGCCCACCCAATACGAGGGGTGGCATAGGATCTCTGTCCCAATCAAAAATATTTTTTGCCTCTAGCGTAACTATGTTCCGGCTTTCCAGTTTTTGTGACAGTCCTGAGAAGCACAGATTAAATTTATGATTGGTCTAGCACACCTTGATCTGGAAAAAGATCGGCCCGGACAATGCTAACTGGCCGGCAAACAGTTCTGCTCATGGTGTAAAGTTTTGCTTTTTGTCGCTTCATAGACACTTTTTAGAACGATTTTCTGTCCGTAGTTTTGTTTCACTGGAAAGTGGTTTTCGAAGTTTCCTTTTAGCGTTTTGGTGTTACACAACAGTCCGGGCCCCACTGTGTCACACAGCCCAAAAGGCACGTTGTGTTGCTATTAGACATTCCTTTACCATTTTGGTATATAGAAGGATGCGAACCACACTCATTCGAACACTCCTCTTTTAGCAATAAAAGATACATACCCACTGGATAGCTTCGTGCGATAATCTTAGCAGAATAGACAAGAATTCATTAACACGTGTTTACTTTGTAGGTCACACCGCTCTATCACAGGCTTGCTTGTTTCGCCTCACCACCCATGGCACATTTCTTGGGGCAAAAGAGGAAATAGAATCTGCTAAAGAAAGAACGAAATTCCAAGTCCAAGTGCTTACAAAAGCAGGCTTATAGCATGAAAACCATGGACGATGAGCCAGACGAAATGTATTTTGAGTGTCTGGTCATGGTTATCTTGGAGCCTAACCATCTTTTGTTTACCTTCTTCGACGTCCGATGTGTCGGTTACTTTACCGACATCATAGTATTGCCAGGAGTTCTGTCTGATACCAACTGCGACTGAGTACGCGAAGAGAGCTTCTTCTCTAAGTCCAATCATTTTACAGCTCGGGGATGGAGTTGCGTTTTAGACCTTAGATAAGATATGTTTAACACTCCAACCACATCAAAGGAACTATATTATTTATTATGCAATTTCTCTAATTTTAATAGCGTGGATTGTATAGGAGTAAGCTGTGAGAGATTTTCTGCTCCAGGAAGTGGCTATATTTGTATTGTGAAGGCCCGACTTTACGTGGGAGAACTAGTCCATGTAATCAGACTAGTCTTCTAGAGAGAACAAGCAGTTTACATGTCAGTAGTGTATTTGAGGAAGATATTACATAGTAAAGAGATAATAGCGTAGCATAGATAGAAGGAAATAGTGCGCTCTCCTCCCAAATTAAAAGGAACAGCAAACAATACACGACAGTAGGCATTTGCTGATGCCAATTCGCACGACTATAATTCACTCGCCACAAGATTGAGTGCTGCCAGCCGAGCCAGGTGGCGAAAATCGAAGAGGGGGGAGGGGGGAGGGGGAAGGGGGGCTATTGGGTGGAATGTAAAAGGGGTTAGAGGGATGTATGTATGTAATTGGTGTACTTAATCTATGTTGTCGGTTATGAGGCACAAACTAGGAAACTCGACAAACTGGGTTTCTTGGGTACGATTATGCTTAGAAAAAGAGAGTTTGCTGAAATTTTCCCAAGCTCATGGAAGGTAAAACCCAGACGAAATGCAGTACGCCTATCTCAGGTGGAAAGCTCCGAGGTCCTTTATCAATTACGGAGTGAAGTCGCGTGGCCACTGCATGACTCGGAAGCTGACAGCTGATAAGCATACGCCACATCAAGGCACGCTACGAGACTAGCGTATTCCGATGTGCCGGTCACATAAGTACAAACCGAAAGCCACAAATGAGATCCTACCCAACGTCATCCTTATGGTCTGCTTTGGATAGAGACAGCCTCTCGGATACTATTCTTATCGAAGATTGGTCGGACGACTTCATCACCAACGTCCTGCTGATAACCAGACTAGGGGCTTGTTCGGTCGCATAACTGTAACATCGGCCCGGTAGGTGTGAACGGCACTAGAGCTGCGGAACGGAGCTTTGGCAGGTGAATCGAACGGAACGAAGAGCTCCGCTCGGACTGAAATCACCACCACTGCACAGCTATGGCGCTGCTAGCGTAGAGCTAGTCTACCATCCACCCATATAGGTATAGTAAAGCCGAGAGAGCAAAACGGAATCGCGAACTCCAGTCCAAGCTCTGGGGATTCCGTTGGGTCCTGCTGCAGTTCCTTCATGCTGGCACACCACTGTAAGTAGCTTCTTCTATCCACATACAGCCAACCTATCGATAAACAAAACCATCATCGCGAAATCTAACAGGCCCCGATAGATGTGTCAATCCCCGCTTGGGCATATACTTAGATACCGCCCTCGGTCACCTGTCGGCCGGATAGACTTCTCTTTCCAATCGATCATTGGACAATGCCCAGTTTACGGGAGCCACAATGCATGGGGTTGCGGTAGAGTTGAAACGTGATAGGCCGTTGACATGTATCTAATCTAGGGACTGCCTCCTTGTCTATGCTACTGGCCTGCGTCTCGTTGCAGACATGATGGCTCGACTCGTGTACAGGCACAAACCATGTCACCGAAAGCTTCCATGCACCCTCTCGAAGGTGACATGCATACGGGAACCGTTGTTGGCTGACTTTCGAACAAAGCCGTCGCCCAGCAGAGATGATGCATGTGTTCGAATTTCTATAGGAGAGACATCAAACACACTTCCCTTCAATCCGGTCCCCGCACACTTTTTCTGATAAGTTATCGAATGCCATTGGTCTTTGATGCCGAAGCTTCCGAAACTCCACCGGAAATACGAGGAACACGCGCCACACCATAAGCAATGTGGCCAAGGAACCCTAATATTCTAAGCTTCATCAAGACCTGCACTATCGCTACCAAAATTTCGACTATGCTGGAGTTGGAAGGCACCAAAGCTTAGCCAACAACTCTATATCCATCCATTGCGCGGCGTGTCCCGAAGACCAGTTAGACCCTTCACCCCGCTCCTCCCCAAACTGCCGTAGTGTTCGTGGCGCGTCCGATATCATTCAAACTAGGGTGCCTGATTGGTGCCATTGTGCCGTGCCCGTCGCTCTATCTAGAAGCTGCTCCATTGATAGCTGGCCGAGGCTATATCCATTTGTGAACCATGACCCGTCGAGCATGTAAGTATCGTGCCATTGAAGATCAGTTATAAAGGACCATGGTCCTGGGTAGTTCTGCAAGGATCATCTTCTCCATTCTCTATTCCTGCCCAAGATCGAAAAGATGTCGCCCAAAGGCTTTGGTAAGAGGCTGGGCTTCAAGAGATCAAACACCGAGAAGGACCCCGTCACTGTTAGCGAACAAACGAATGATTCCCATGGAGAGACATCTAGCAACGATGCTTCGGAAGTTCGCGACATCAGCGAAGCAGAGGCAAACCAACGTCTAAAAGCTTTCCGTCAAGAACACAAATGGGACCCTAACCTGCCAGACGAGGCGGTCGACATGGTCGATGCCGCCACTGAGGCCCACGACAAAACCGGCGAGTCGAAGCTCGTTGGAGAGGTGATCGAGAACTCACCATATCCGGAAGTGAGTTGCAAGAATGTCTGAGTACTTCCACATGGAACTAATCAAGACAACAGGTCCGTGCTGTCGTACGGAACTACGATGAAGACGTTCCTGCCAGCACTATTCGCTCATGGGTCATTGGTCTCCTTATGACCACCGTCTGCTCATCAGTCAACGCACTCTTCTTGCTGCGTTATCCCCTCATCAGCATCGGCCCTTACGTCGTACTGCTGATCGCCTATCCGATCGGTATCTTCTTCGCAAGAGTCCTTCCCAACAAAGAGTTCAGCATCTTCGGACTCAAAGGAAATCTCAACCCAGGACCTTTCAATGTCAAGGAGCACGTCATAATCGTTGCAATGGCCAATGCTGCCTTCGGTGGTGGCGCTGGATACTTTGTCGACACCGTCGTCTCACTCCGCAAGTTCTACAAATTCGACACCAGCCAGTTCGGATGGGGCTTCAACACGCTTTTTGCTCTGTCCACCCAATGTCTTGGGTTTGGTCTAGCAGGTTCTGTCCGAAAGTTTCTTGTAGAACCTGCGTCCATGATTTGGCCTGGCGCACTCGTCAACGTCGGTTTCTTGTATGCTCTCCATGACCATGGGCCGACTGACCCTACGACCACCAACGGCTGGTCTATCTCGCGGTACCGAATGTTCATGTACGTCATGATCGGTATGTTCGTCTGGTCTTGGCTCCCAGACTTGATCATTCCTGCATTCAGCTACTTTGCTTGGGTCACTTGGGCCAAGCCCAATAATGTTGTTGTCAACCAACTCTTTGGACAAAGCACTGGTCTTGCACTCGGCTTCCCGTTTACCGGGTTTACTCTCGATTGGGCACAAATCAACTCCTTCTTCAACAGCCCGCTACTTAGTCCATGGTATGCACACGTAAACACTTTAATCGGTGTTGTCTTCTTTGTCTGGATCATTATTCCAGCATTGAGCTTTACCAACACTTGGTATGGCGATTACGTGTCAATCTCGCAAAACAGTATTCTTGACAACACTGGCAAAATCTACAACACCTCCAGGATTCTCACTCCTGAACACACTGTTGACCCTGCCAAATATGAGGCGTACTCGCCTCTCTTCTTGTCTCCTACTAACGCACTCAACTACGGACTGAACTTTGCTAGTATCGCTGCACTAGTCAGTCACACCTACCTCTTCCACGGTGCCGAAATCTGGCGCCGCTGGAGGTCCACATCTGGTGAACTGGACGATGTTCATATGAAGATTATGCGAAAGTACAAGACAGTACCCAC